TATATATATGATAAAATAAATATATTTTGGGCATTTTAGGTCAAGGTAGTATTAATTTTCCTAAATTTTAAGAACTGTTTTGATTTTTAAAAAACTTATAGCAAACTGAAAGGAGAAAGTTGAGCAGTTTGTGTTAACTAGTTAAAGCTGAGTAGCAAAAATCAGAGTCAATATGACAAAATTAGCTTTTACAATTTTTTCTGAAAAGCTAAGATGTTTGTGTGTGTGGTGAATGTGGGGGGGCACTTGGGAAGGTTTTATTTATTTATTTATTTATTTATGTATTTATTGTATGAAAAAATATTAGCTCATTTATAGTAAATTATATCTCCCTAAGTAAAAGTCCAGGTTAGGGAGCTATATATGTTCTTGTTATTAGAAGTAGGCATATTTGATCTTAGAAAGCAATTCTGGGTGTGAATCATTGTCAACACCAGAGGATCAATGGAGAAAAGGAAGGCACAGAAATGTGTTATTCTATTTCTGGGTACTGTAACCTTCCATGCTTTCAGAGGCCTGGCAGGGCACAAAAACAAGTGAAGCACAGAGTATTTGCCCACCAGTGAGGAGTGGGGCCTTGTGGGGAGTGAAAGATGTGCATCCACTTTTTTTCAAAATTGATATTTTTTAGAGCGTGCCGAACAAGCCAGATGAAACATTGCTGGATGCCACGTTTGACTCATGGGCGTACGTTTACAACAGCATGTGCAACCCTACATTGATCTCTTGATTCCAAGCCAACTTCTGATTCTCAAGAGGACAGGAGCCCACAGTCCTGCCTAGTCTGTGGTCTCCATTTCAGTGGTGTTATATCTGTCACTTGTCCCTTTGTGCAGAATACAAACATGAAAAAAACCAGGCTCTTAACACTCAATAATACTCAGCTGGCATCATTTTAAAAGCAGCACAGGGTATGAATACATAGCTTAAAATGCTTGGGTTACTTATAAATTGTTTTAAACTAATCACTTTTGAAATAGATACTTTGGGTCATGTATAATAATCAGATTTTTCTTTTATAGTGTTTTAATTTAGGTCCAGTTATATGTAGCACTGCCAAGTAGTTTATACCAAAAAATATGTAAACCTTTTTTTTTTTTCCTGATGTAAAGAAAAGCTTTTGACTAGGTACAAGGCTATCAGGGACCACATTTTTCCTACGTCTCTAGTCTCCTGGGGTATGACTTTTGATTTTCTTGGTCCTACAGGGCTGCTGGAGCTCTAGCCATTACATGTGCTTCCCAGACATAAGAATAGAGGATGAGAAGCAGAAGCTATCTATTTCTCCTCTTTCATGGAGACTTCCATGTCTTTATAATCACTAAATTTATACATAGTTAGCCAGAGTTTAGTCATATGACCACATAAAGCTGCAAGAGAGCCTCGGCAATGTAGCCTTTTTGAGTCTTCCCGGCAATGTGCTCCGCTCCGTAGAGCCCTGCTGTGAAGGCTACAAGGAAGAATGACTGCTAGGAGGCAACTTTAGTCTTGACCATGAGCAGCTATGTTGGTTCTTTTTTTTTTTTTTTTTTGTGGTACCGGGGATTGAACTCAGGGCCTTGCACTTGCCAGGCAAACACTTATTCTACTGAGCCATCTCCCTGGCCCTTATATGTTGGTTCTTGAAGCTGAATAGATCTTAATGGTGTTATAGTGGATCTACTCTGGTTTTTGTTTATTTCTGAGCAAACTACAAAGCCAAGAACACTGGATGATGCTGAAATATTTGGATGCATTTTCTTCGCTGCTTCCTTTCAGATCAGTGTGGATGTAGCTATTGCTTTTATCCCAACAAAAACAAAGGTTTAATTTGAAGGATCTCTTTCTACACCAGTAGATCCATAAACTGATAGATTGATGGAATTAAATTGACCAATGCAATGTATACTTTGACCAGAACTCAGGTTAGTTGATAAGCAAGGCATGGATCAGTGTTGAGCTAGATGGCTGTATAGAGAGCCACCTGAAGATCCTGATGCAGGTCCTTGGCTTCCTCCTTCCTGCATAACTTGTTTGTGTAGGTTCCGCTGTGTTGTGGAGATCCGTTTGCTGCCACAGCCTGACGGGTGTCTGTGACTCACACTGGTGACCACTGTACTGCACCTTGGACCTACACTGTTTGTTCCAAGGCTTCCCATTATGACTTTGGCAGTGTCTTACTATTCTAGTTATTCCTCGCTCTTAAAACCCTGCCTAAAGCTTGTAGGTAAACTGGTATGAATTCTCCATTATTTGTGTAAAAGCCCAAATTCCTTTTGTGATGCATTAGATGAATTATTCTGCTATTCTTATGCATTTCCAGGTGAATATATAGTTTTCATCTCCAAACTTTCCTTTTACACTTGCAGTACTATCACCGGAAATCCATTGTGTTGACCACTGGAGACACGGACCTACTACAGAATGGGAGGCAAATGTAGAAAGAGGCGGTTTTGTTTTGAAAGTCTAGGATTTAGAAGATTAGAGTCACACTAATCTATGGTTACAGAATGAATTTTTTTTAAACTATTGTGTACAGTTTGCCTCAGGTTGAAGGATAATTCATGTATCATTACTTAGTCCTATGTGTCATTTGTAAAATGTTCGAATATGAACTTTTTCTGATTTGCTCTGAGATCACAGCACTGAAAACTGATGAAAACTGTAGACTTACATATAATATATACAT